ATTAAAAACTTTTTATTTATGTTTATTTAAAACAAAGTATTCTTTTATTAGTGCGGAATTTGTCCCAATACATTATTAATGTGAAATGATATCAATATCAAAAGCATTTTCGAAGAAAAGTTTTTTTTCATTAATATTCAAAAGCTTGAGTTATCATAACTGCTACAGAAACATAAGCATAAACTAGTCTTTATAGGCCTTACATCAATTTATTTAATGACCTAAAACTCCTTAAATCTCTCGACAGATTCAAACATTAATATACCTGAAACTTCATATCGCTACCTGTGATACAAAGAAATTGAGTAGCTTAGACTCGGGAGTCAGGTGAGCACATAGGGTTTTTAATCCACAATATTATAATATTTTAATTATATATTTCACAACAATCAAAATAAGGCAGTTACCCATTCCCGTTATCCTCACTTCCTGATCCCAAAATGATGATCTCAAGGGACCTATCCTAAAGGATCTTTTGTAAGCAGCGAGTAAACAATACTACTTCGGGTATTCCGTTAGCAATATGTATCAATGAGAAAACCATGTGGGGGATGAAGCATAACGAATGAACGCGCAGTTAAGGGGTGTTCACGGTTAGGTTTGAAACCATGGAACCAGCCAAACCGGACATCAATTTGGTTTCGGGGTTCATATTTTTCTTTACGGTTTGGCTTGTGACTTCAAATTTTTGGAAACGTAATGAACGGTTTGGCTTACGGTTTCAAATTTTTCAAACCGTCCAAAAACCAAACTGAACCGTAGCATTTATATATAAAAATTATTTTTTATATGTAATTGTGTGCATGTATGCATCAATGAGAATTCAATAAATAATTAAATCATTAATAAATAATAGAAGGGTATAAGAGTAATCTACACTATAATTAATTATGGTAAAAGAAAACAAAATCAATTAAACCTTAGGTTATCAGTTTCATAAACCTATAACACCACCACCGATTCCGCCTCTTTCTCTAAAAATCATCGTCTAGAACCACCATCATCTCGTTCTCTCATCACAGACCCGAAAACCCTTCTCCTCTCCTTATTTCGACACCACCAGAGCAGTAGCACCACCCCACACCAACGTAGAAGCACCAACTTTATGGATCGGAGAACAAGGGATTTTAACAGTGTTTGGCGACCAAACAATTTCCCCTAGGTGCAAAATTTCTAGGGCTCGAAAAACCCTATGATAGAAGGTTGTTTCATAATCGTTTTCCTTTTATTCATATGGCATTGACATTGTTTTTGGTTGTCGTATTCTTGTTCAGTGTCGTTTCTTTTCCACTTGTTGTTGCCGAGAAGATGAGAACTTTTGTGAGTTTTTTCATTCTTTAAAATATCTCCAACTTCATTTGTATCTATGTGCAAGTTCCAAATATATTTTACAATTCTTTGAATGAAATTGGATTAAATAGTTTGTCTAATAATCAATGAGTTCAATTATTGTTGAGTTTGTTCATTTTGGGTTCAAATTTTTTTAGAGTGAATAACCAACAGTTTTGTATTTCAATCTTGTTTTCTTTATTTTTTATTATTGTTTTTACTTTATTATTAGTTACCAAAATCTCATTGTATATGTTCTGGGAACCAAAATCTCATATTCTTTGCATTGTCTATTTCTTCATTGGAGCTTTATCAGCCCTAATTTCTTCATTTGTTCTTGATATTTGATTGTTTTAAATTTGTCTTTGTTGAAAATGGTTAAGCTGGCATTCTGTCAGAATTTGCATGAAAAGGGTTGAGTAAGTGATTTTTTTTTCATAACAGAATGCAAACACCTGTTCATTCTATGAGAATATAAATATTACATAAAACATGTGTTGCTAGTAATTCTGTCAGAATACATTTATACATGCTTTAGAATGTTTATACATATAGAAGAAAAGACTACGATTTAAGTGCATTATGCAATTTATTCTGTCAAAATGTATTTATATAAACACATTCTGTTAGAATTTCTTTGAGAATGTTTGTTAACAACAAATATATTTGCTTAACTGGTAATACTAACGACTAACGAGTAATGCATCTTATTCTTTCAGAATGACATGGAAAAAGAATTCAATATTTATCATACTAGATGAAGATTTGGAATCGAGTTCAACAAGTATATATGCGAAGAATTACATTCTTACGATAATACATCACATTTTCGTAAGAATAGTTTGAATCAAGTGGATAATCTGGACTATTGAAGAACAAACGTGTATTCTAGCAAAATGTATTATGTTATAACGTATAAAGCGTTTCTTAAGAATAATATTCTTTAAGAATTGATTAGTGTTTTTGTTAGATTTAATTTTTTTTCTTTTTTAACCATTCTTAGTTTTAATCTTTAAAAATAATGTAATTCTTAAACCGTTATTAGTCATACTTTTTTCAGAATGAATGTAATAATTGTTTATAGTCTTATTCTTTATAAATTAATGTTATTCTTGATAATATGTGATATATTTCTTTAAGCATATTAAATATAAAAAAATATCTTGAATGAAACCATATTCCACAAGAATAAAATCGAAAATATATTTCCTAGTTTATGGTTAACTTTGTCATTCTGACGGAATAAAATTGGTTATTATTAAAAATTATATTAAAATTAAAGTTGAATTAAATTAAAAAATTCAAAATTTTAAAAATAAGTGAATTAATTATCCCTTAAAATCAGAAAATTACATTTTTTAATATAGGTTAATTGATCAAAATACCCTTATGCTGAAATTTGAGTGATTATATGGTGCATGTTATCCTATTGTAATATCATAGACTCTCAGATCATAAATTATGATTCTATTCCATTCGGTGGTCCAGATTTGTGCTTACGGATATACAATAGTTAGTGAAAACATATATATATATATATATATATATATATATATATATATATATATATATATATATATATATATATATATATATATATATCCATAACTATTGTGTAGCTGTAGGGACCAATAAGATTTCAGAAAAATTTAAATCATTTAATTAACAAATAAGGGTAATTTAGTAATTTTTGTTTTATAAACCAAAAATAAATTCCTATATTTTTGTTAAATCCCTTAAATCACGTGTGCAGTGTTTTTATTAACCCTATCATTTTCAAGTCTCCAAATAATTAACCCTACGCCGTCGTCGACATTTTCTTCATCGTCTTCGTATACTACAGGCAACACAACCATCATCTTCACGGCATATGATTGATTTTTTTACCAAGATTAGTAACGAGACACATCGCACACACCATCGATCAGATCCAGGTAACTTTTTTTTTTTCTTTTTTTGTTAAGAAATGTCATCTTTCGACAGTAAGTTCTTTAGTTATGTAGCAATCTGTTTTCAAACAATCTAATAGAAGTGGTTTAAAATTATTTTGTTAATAGCTCATATAGCTATGCGGAGACAATTATCATAAACTCTTCATTATTTGACAGTAAGTTTGCAATTTCTTATTTGACAGTATGTTCCTTATTTGACAGTAAGTTTTGCAATTTCTTTTTTGGTTGATTTACAAACTACTAGATTTAATTCCTTTGTTTGTTAAATAATAATATATCATGATAAGCATATGATTTGTCGGCTTCATCAGGGAAATGTGATTGTGTTATTGCTTTTCTTATTTTTAGCTTATTACTTTTAAATGTTTTGTGTTTTTGTTATTGTATTTAACATTTGTTTTTAATTTATTGTTCCTATTACCGATAAATATTCACACCATGTACTAGGTTGATAAATCATTTATCGTTGTTAACTAATAACCAATTATTTGTTTAGTGCCTACCAACTGTTTGTTAAAACTCCTAAGAGACAAGATTTTTGTTTTTCATGTTTTTCACAGGTTTCTAGATTTACCGAAGGATCAGCTGTCATTATTGAGTTCATCTCCTTCTACAATGCCCCGTATAAAGTTATTCTCATAGAATGTCATTCTGCGAGAATGATATTCCGCTAGAATGTCATAATACATATAGGAACGGACAAAGAAGGAGAATAAGGATTGTTTCAAGAATGGCGATTTTTTTTTGCAAAAGAATTCAAGAATGACAGAGTATTATTTCAAAAATGAAGCTTTGTATTTGTACTTGATTACATACCTCGAGGAAACAGACCAAGAAGGAAAAACGAATTCATTCAAGAATGTCAAAAAAAATTATGATTTTTATTCTTTTGATGTATTTCACTTTCTAATTGTATTTTAAGTTCATTATCACAAAAGTGTTATCACATTCTTAAAGAATATCGTTTATATTAACATTTTACCATTGGAATGATATGTTATTGTTCTCATTCTAAGAGAATGATTCAAAATTCTTTATTATTTTATTGTTGATATTCTCATAGAATATCATTCTAACAGAATGTAATTCTGACATAATAAAATCTGTTATGATTAAAAATTACATCATAACTGAAACTGAATTAATTTAACAAAAAAGTCATATTTTTAAAATTTGGAAAATCAATAATCCATTAAAATCTGAAAATTTCATTTTTTGAATATCGTTTAATTGACTTAAGTACCATTTCAATAAAATTTGAGTGATTATAGGGTACATGTTACCTCATTGTAATATCATAGACCTTCGCATCATAGTCACTCATTCTTTTAATCTAATGGTCCAGAATTGTCCTTACGACCACACAATAGATGTCATAGACATTATAACCTAACCCTATATATATATATATATATATATATATATATATATATATATATATATATATATATATATATATATATAGAGAGAGAGAGAGAGAGAGAGAGAGAGAGCTAGATTCAAATGTTTCTAGCAACTATTGTGTGCCTAAATGCACCAATGAGAATTCAAGAAATAATAATTAATTAAATAAATCATTAAAGGGTATTTTGGACCTTTTGTACTTTTAATTAAGGAAATCATTTAATTGAAATCTTGCAATTAAGGAAATAAAGTAAATATATTTGACCTAGTCTCTCTCTATCTTATATTCTCTCTTATATTTCCTACGGTTCTTCTTTTTCACCTACAGGGAGGATGAAATCAAAATGAGGAGGCTGTTACCTTCGCTTAAGCAGCCAAGAGACACCCCCCACCCACCGAGGATCGTTGTTGATGTCTACCCTTCACATTCGTTTCCTGCTTGGTACACGTCTTGTGTTTCCTGTTATCTCTTTCCTCACTCTTAACGACTAATCCCTTGGCTCCAATCACCATTGATGCTCTCACGTCTTCCTCACTGTATGTTGGAGACGAAGGTCCAGGACACCTTGCGTCCCTCTGTCGTAATGTAGAACAAGATGCTTTAATGGCACACGTCTTACACCAACAATTTTGGTTTTTATGGTTCTATGGTCGTTTTCTGTCTTCATCAATAACTCAAATTTATCTCCTTTTTTTTTAATTTCCCCCTTATATCGGTTCTCGTAACAGCTTCAATTTGAAGAAATTGAAGGAATTAGAAGCTATTCATCTATCGATTGTATAAGATGTATGGGATTTGAGATCTTGATGTGGCTAGGTAGGAGTTTTTGTTGGTCCACCACATGTTCGATGAAATGCTTAACAAACAATACTGGGTTAAACCTGATGACAATGAATCCAGTTTCAACTATTGACTTAAGATCTATCCACATGATGGAAACTGGAAAGGTGAATGTGGTGTGCAGGGGAAAACCTTTCCTAACTCGATATTTCCTACCTATTATCCTTCTTTGTTTATTTCTTCATAATTTATTTAATGTAGCTCAACTTATGGGTTTTCATTCAAATTAGTTCTCAAGCTATCATCTGTGATTGAGTTTGAGTTTTTATTTGATTGATTTTGTTGTAGAGTCAAGTCAGGGGTTGTTGGTGACAATCAATTATACGAGGGCACTACCGAATCATCATTATAATGAAAGAGTGAAGCAGGCCGTACTAGACAGGTAAAGCCACTAAAACACTCATTAAAATCATTTTGTTGACCTGTAAATTCTTTCAGAATGAGGGAAATATTCTTTTATAATAAAGAGGGCTTTAGTTTGCCGAATGCTACTATTCTTTCAGAATGAAGAAGGGTAATATTCTTCACATGTAATCCTGCAAATTGATCAGACCTAGACAACCAAAAAAGGCACGGAAGCTTTAATTTTATTCTTTTACAATGATATTGTTCTCTAAGAATGAAATTGAATTTTATTCTTTAATTTTTTTTTTCATATCATAATGCAAACACGTGTTCATTCTATGAGAATATAAATATTACATAAAACATGTGTTGCTAGTAATTTTGACAGAATACATTTATACATGCTTTAGAATGTTTATGCATATAGAAGAAAAGACTATGATTTAAGTTTATTCTGTAAGAATATTATTGTTGTATTCCGATAGAATTGTAGTTAATTATTTGTATGTTTAATGTGCAGTTGTTACAAGTTTATCACTACAAATTACTTGGCAATGAATTTATGGTAGAAATGGCTTGAAGAATGACCTGAAGACCTGATGGGAAAGACTTGAAGAATGAATTAAAGAATGATCACACTCACTGTTTTAAGAATGTTGTTATTTTTTTAAGAATTATACTTGTTATTCTTTCAGAATGTTTGTTATTATTCAATGAATCACAATCATACAATGTAATTATTTGGTATATTATTATTTCAAGAATCGATTTTTTATAGTCTTTCAGAATGTATTTACTAATTTATGGTTGGAATTCTGTCATTCTGACAGAATAAAATCGAAAAATATATTTACTAGTTTATGGTTAAAATTCTATCATTCTGACAAAATAAAATCGGATTTTTAATTTTAAATTAATTTAAAATATTCAGATTTTTAAAAACAAAAGAAATTAATTATCCCTAAAAATCCGAAAATTTCCTTTTTTAATATAGGTTAATTGACTAAAATGCCCTTATGCTCAAATTTGTGTGATTATATGGTACATGTTATCCTATTCTACTATCATAGACCCTCAGATCATGACTTTTGATTATATTACATCCAATGGTCCAGATCTGTGCATTCTGACACACAATAGTTACTAGAAACAAAATAACGTAACCCTATATATATATATATATATATATATATATATATATATAACTTTAAAACCCACGTAACTTATATCTTTATTGTTTATTAAGTTGAATCTTATAAACAAAAATACCAGACCAATCTTTGTGTTGTGAGTGAAGCTCATCGTTCGTTTGAGACATTTTTTTTTTGACTTTTTTTATCTGAGATTTTTTTTGGACAAAATTATTCTAATGGGCTCGACTCAAAAGGGCCTAAAAAGCCCAAACCGTGAAACCAATCCGAAGCCAAACCGTTAGTGATAGTTCGGTGGGGTTCGGTTTTAATTTTCAATGGTTCGGCTTTGGTTTTCAATTGAAAAAAAAACGTTACTAACGGGTTGGCTCCGGTTTGACATAAAAAACGAAAAAAATTCGGACCATGAACACCCCTAGCGTAGTTCATTAAATAGCTACAGGTAATAAGCATGTCGGTGTTCCACTTGACTACATAGAATAGTCAGTGGTCGTCATCTATATTCCCGTAGATGACTGGAAACAATAGTATGATAGTACTTTGGGTACATCAGTACGATAGTACTTTGGTCACAACTTATTATTTCGCACAACCCTTCACTTACCAATATTTTCCTATCACAACCTCTCATTTATTATTTCACACATCATTTCACTACCCGATCACATTTCATATATATATATATATATATATATATATATATATATATATATATATATATATATATATAAATAAAAGGGATTAAGGTTTAATCACGTGATAATCATATCATGTTGCACAAATATATTAAACACAACTAAACAACACACACAACATTTAAGCATTTAGAATACTTGTATCTATGTGTAAATTGAAAGAAACTATGCACTCACTTGTTAAAAGTGGATGACTTGTTATTAGGACAGAGATTTGCCTAACACCTTCGCTTTTTCTTTGATGTGACCTAGGTATAATTATCATTAAGTCTTAGTCTTATATTTTTTGCGACTATAATAACGATAGTCTAGATTCCTCAAGAATCTCAATGAATATTGATCTTTAGCTGATAAGGAATAACCTGGTAAGATCATATTGGGGGTAGGGTCCGTTTGGTATATAGAGTATACTATTTGAAAATCTCACTTTAAACACCTCACTAAATCTAGTCTAGACATTACCCTCGTAAGTAGATCAATCAATATTTTGACATGTAATCACTGATAAATCTTATTTATAAATTTATAATAACAACTATGAATATAAATATAAGTTACACTTTAAATAAAATAAGTGTGGCTTAACTTACAGAGTTTAATGACAGAAAGTCCAAAAAGTTTGCAAGTAGAACTTCTACTCGAAAGCTTCTGTATGTCAGGCTCTCTGATGTCTCAGGGCTACGTCAAATACTTAAAATCTAAAGGAAATTCGGACCAAATAAGGAGAAATTCCAGAGAAGTGGTTATGGAGGTATGAGGAGTGGAATGAGGAGGTTGCTGACCAGGCGCGCCGCGCCCTCCAGCCACGCTGCTCCTTCCGTTTTGTGACACGTGTAGAAAAAGCGGTGGTCCATACCCCACCTTCTAGATGCATGCGTCGCGCCCTATGCGCACATTCGTGCCAAATTTTTAATATTTTCTAAAAATCATATCTTTCTCATATGAGTTATGTTTTTCCGTTCTTTATGCCCATGCGCAGCTATCAACGAGTACTACAACTTTCAGCGTCGGCTAATTCTCAATTTATTTTTAATTTTATATTTTTAAAGGGCTTAGACTGTTAAAACTTGTATAAAAATCATAACTCTTTCATACGGATTTCGTTATTAACTGTCTTTATATCGACAGAACCCTATTCACGAGATCGTCAACTCTCGTTTATATTATTTCGGCTAACAATCAACATATTTGATATTCGATTTCTGTGCCCACACTGCTACACTGAAACTTTGAAAAAAAATCGTAAGTTCCTCATACGAAGTCAAATTTGGACGTTCTTTATATGCATGCTTTCGCTTTTACAATTACTACGACTTCCGTTTAGATTACTTAGGCTAATAAGCAACCCATATTTAGTTTACTATTTATGACACTCTTTATCGTATTGGGTTGAACGTGAAACTTCAATGAATCATAACTTCTTCATACGAAGTTAGATTCAAGTGTTCCTTATATCCACGTGTAACGCCCGTAGATCCGGGCTAGTCAATTTAGAGATAATATGGGTCGAAAACGACTTTTCGACAAAAGATTATTTAGAATAAATAATCTTACCCAAGTTGTAGAATATGTCTCAAGGTTACAAATGACTCCTTAAACATTACTACTATGCACTAAAAACGTAGTACAAGGTAAGTAGGGTCGATCCACAGAGACACGGGACAAATGCTTATACCTTTTTGCGCAAGGTACAATATGATCACAAAAGAGGGGGATTTAAATGCAATGATTCAAATAAGAGCTAATTTAATGAGTAAGCAATTGATTAAGTGAAATAAGTTCAAGATTTGTAAGTACTCCAACTCTATGCAAGACAAATTAGCAATGTGATTCCATGGATGACAAGATATTTGTTTAATTCTATCTAAGTTGGTACTTGAAAGTGTTAACAAGCTCTAACACTTCCCATTCACCACAATAATTAACCAAAACAAGCTCTTTGATTAATCCTAACCTTACCAATCTAATCTAAACAAACTCTTAGAATTAGGTTGAAAGATTGCATTAAACTTTATGTGAATGTTCCCAACAACACTCAATACTCCTCATAAGCTCGGGAGCATAAGAATGTGTGAATAAGATTTACACTAAATTCATTCAATAGAAATCAGTTTAGTGCTTGTTACCTAGTCAAATTTACAAAACAATTACGAATTTTGCAATTAGATAACTTGAATTATCTAACCCTAATTCAAATGGCCAATAAGAATCACAATTAGAATCAAACATTCGATTGAAACAAAATCAATTCACTAGATAGAAAATTGAAAGAAAACATCAAGTCATATGATTGAAATCACAACTAGAAGTCAAGACATAAAGTTGGAGAATCTAGGGTTCTAGCCACTCATGACTAGAACAAGATCACAAATCTAGAAAATGAAATTAAAGTTCTTACAAAATGAAATCAAATGTTCCCAAGTGTTAATCAACTTCAAAATCCTCAAGAAAAATCGCCTTCTCTACTCCAAAAATCGACCCCCCAAAGTAAAAAGTCAGTTCCCACCTTTAAAAATGGTGAAAAACTGCTTTAAAACCCGCATTTACGTTTACACGGCCCGCGTAAATTAACACTGTCATTTACACGGCGTGTAAAACGTCTGTAAAGCCAAAATCTTCATTTCTTTGATATCTGCTCCTCGGTGCTCCGCAAGTCCTGAAATTTTGTCCGCAACTTTTATTTACCTCCTCCAACAATATCCTACCTCCAAAAGTCCCTAAAATATCACAAAAGTATGTGAATGAAATTGCCTCATGAAAAATCCCGAAAAACATGCAAAATGCATGAGTTTAAGCCTATATGCAATGTACTTTTATGAAATAAAGCTACAAAATGGGTACATGAAATGCACCTAACAAATACATAGAGTTTCAATCTACAATCCTGAAAAAAATGCAAATTAAATCACCAAGGGTAATAACGTCCACACCGACTGACATGAAAAATAACCACCAAAAAAGAGCAACAAGAGGAGCCAACATGGGCAAAATAGCCTAATCCAAAACTCCAACCACTTAGAACAAACACACCGCCGATCAAAGAAGCATGAGTAGAAACCTCCAAACCAAACTCACCAAAGAAACCAACACACTATCCATCTCAGAAAATAGTAACCAACTTAAGAAACCACCTTAAAAATAGCACTCCACTTTCAAATAAAGGACAACTCCTAATCCTCGAATAAACAAATGCACCATACGCTTGAAAAAAACTTAATGAAGTCATAGAATTTGAGTAGTGCCAAGAATGAGCATGGAAAAAACATATATAAACCAAACAACACCAGAACCATGCTCTTGATATAGCACAATGTAAAGAGGGCAGAACCATAATTACTATAAATAGCACCAGAACCATGTAATCCTATAGGGCAACCATCATTTGCCCCAACCATCTTTGTAACCACCATAAGGACAACCAAAGTTGGAACCACTTGAAACATCTGCTAATAATAAGACTAATAATAAGACTGGAAGATAAAGTCCAAGCCTCATTAAATACAAAACAGATATGAAATG